AAAAAAAAAAAAAACAAACTTAGGGAAAGTCGAGCGAGGAGAAGGAAGGGTTGCGCTTGGAAGGTGTGGGGACTGTCAGAAGGTGGCCTCAGCTCTAGCGCTTGCAGCCCTGGCTCTTTTCAGAGGTCAGGCTGAGGGAAGCGGCAGCAGAGCCACAGGGATGGGGCTGCCCTTGCCTTTCAGTTTGGGGGCAGTCACACCAGGCGTGCATGTCTTAGAAGTTCACAGCGGTTGTCCGTTTTTGATGGGAGCTGTCTGGAATGTCACCCGTCCCTAAACCCAACAGAATCTGCTGTGAATAGATGTGGTGTGGAGGCAGCAGCACTCTGCATGCGTTCTCTGAGATACCGGTGGCAGAGGCTGGCCTGCACCATTTGAGTGGCGAGCACTCATACGTTCGGTTTGAACCTCTTGGAGACTTAAGAATGTAGGTGCTAGCTTTAACATAAGATCATGTTGACAGTGGGAGTCTCCGTTATTTACGGAATCATTTACCTGAATCATTAGCTCTTCCTCTTCTTGGATTTAGGTTCAAAACCTAAATGTTACCAACACAGTACTATAGGAGTTCCTGTATTGTAGATATTGTCAATATTTACAGAACGTCACTTCAGGATTCTCAGCCAGTTTCAGGACTGAAAGAAACAAGCTAAATCATCTAGGCCACCTCTTAGCTGTTTAGTGGCTGCTGATCTTTTCTCTCCAGTCTAGTCCTCAACTTCCAAAGGAAAGATTTTGAACTTATTCTCCCTTGTTAACCTGAAAGCACTATTCCAATATTTTTTACCATCAGTAAGCTTTGCCTGATACTTGGCCTGAGTTTTTTTTTTTTACTTACTTATCTTAATGCCCAGCCTTCGTTACGCAACAGCATGCGTCATAAAAAGCTGTGATATTAGAAAAAGAGAAAATCAAAATAGTTATTACAGTAGAGGGCATTTTTTGTAGAACCACCTTCTGGATGGTGAGCAGCAGATGATTTGTGTATAGCAATGAGTCCAAGAGCAGGAGAAGCGAGACTACTCCAAGGCCCCATAATGGGTGCAAATGTTTTTGGAGGAAGAAGACCACATGTAACTTTAGCATCCATGCAGAGTAGAAGGGATTGTGGCACGTCTCTTATAGAGACTTGAAAAACTGTAAAGTAAGCTGGAGTGAATTCTCAGCAAATGAATTTGAGGTACTTCTGAGATTCTACTAATGATTTGTTCTTTACATACCATCTTCAAAATACCCCCATACTGTAGCCATGCCTAGATGCTTCTGTGATTTAAGCAGAACTGCACTTGAAGCATGTCAGGGGTACTGTGCTTCTGGAGTAAGGTAAGAATTATTTTATAGTAATGTGAGAAGATGCCCCTGCAGTGGATGCTTTCCCAAAGTCCAAGAGAAAGAAGCAGAGGATAAGTAAAAGTCAGTTGCACAGGCTGTGTTTAGTGGTGCTGTTTTTTTTAAGCAACTAACACTGCAAGTACCTTTTTTTCTGTGCTCCTGTAATCACGTTTGTTCCATCCTTCCACAGCACAGTCAGCATCTGGAACCTGTCCTCAAAAGCAAAGATACTCCCTGAAACTTGTGAGTTTTGATCTGTGCGGGTGAGGAATAGTGTTGAGTATACTGTGTCTAGGACCTGACCCATCTGGCCTGTATGACTAGAAGTGTCAGAGGAATTCAGAGAAGGTGATTACAGAGGCCCCCCTCTAGCTTGAAGAAGTGCTGTCTCATGGAGTATGCACTTAACTTCACTGCCTTCATCACTGTCAGTACGTTTTCTTAGAGAAATAAGGGAAAGAACACCAGAGCTTAGAAGATCAGTACAGCTCCCTGGGAGTCTTTAGCTTGGATTTTGGTAGAAGTTGGTTCTACCAATGAAGATATCAATAAAATAGATATGAAGATTAAAAAAAAAAAAAGGGTTACCTTGTAGACCCACTAGGCTGTCAGTAATCTCCAAAACCTCTAAGGGTATAAGGTAGAGTTCTTGTTTCATATATGTAGTATAAAGAGAATTGAGATGTCTGACCTGCTTTCTTCATATATGTCAAGTGTGCATATATCCTGAAGTCTGAGAGAACTGGAGGTGTTAAAATTTGATGGCTATGCTGAGGTAGTGCTGATGAACCAGCGTTGAGAGATTCCCTGTAATGCCAGAACACATCAATAAATCACATGGTGATTAAAGTTCTGAGCCACCTTCCTAGATGCTTGCCAATGACTTGAGCTCTCCAGAAATGTGTTGTTTTCCGTAATATCTGTTCTGCTATTGGAATTCAGCTGACCTGTTTTCAGTAATGCACAAATCAGAGCAGAAAGACTGTTTTCTCTTGTCTGCTCTGGCCCTTGGGGGTCGCCCATGTCTGGGAAAACCAATGATGACTAATGGTTCTGTGGGGAATCTAGATGTGCCAATTCTTGCAGGCATTTGAAAAATCACTTTCCTGTTTTATCAGAGAAGAACCATTTAAGAGGATGGAGAAAGAATACAGTGTTAATGAGAGGGGACAGTTTAAAATCTGCAAAAGTAGAACCAGCAGGTGGGAAACTGTAACTAGCTCTGTACATAACACTCCCAACCGCTATATTTTGCGACTCTGGCATCATGTGGCATTTTGCTCAGAGATCGGTTGCCTGCACCAGCCCTTGCAGTTACAAAGGACTATAGGACATAGTATGGCACACAGCAGCATTTGATTCCTGGGTTTGGTGGTTCAGATTGCTGGTACTGAGAAAGCACAGCTCTTTGTGGCTCACCAGGCAAGATGTGTAATAAAATTTTCTCTGCATCGTGGTCGTTTCTGTTGCCTGGAGACCGTTGCTCTTTAGCAACCCTGGCCGGTTGTGGGTGGGGCTGATATCAAACCAGCCAGGATATAAAATTGCTGCCTCCTCCCATGCAAAAGAGCATCTGTCCTAAGTTAACTTGTAGTATCCTGAGTACGTATGCGTACACTCACACTCTATATGCATTTCAGGTTGCTGGGTAACGGCAGTAAAAAGGCAGTAACATGGGTATAAAAAGATGGATTCTAAGAGTTCAACACATTACCCAGCACTTAGGAAATGTCATGAATACAGCCTTTCTTACTAATCTTTTGCTTTCTGACAGTTAAAATAAAGAGGGATAGCTCCTTGTTGGAACTTGCATGTTGGTAGGAAAAACTTCATCCATGCTGTGGATAGAAAAGTTGCCTCTGGCTCCTTTTCACAGCTTCAGGATTAGAGCTTGTTCCAGTTTGCTAGATGATCTGTATTGTCTAGGTGATCTGAACCCACAGAGAACTCTTTAAGTGGTAGGGCTTGAAATGTCTATCTTGAGATGGCTGCTTCCTTGTTTCGTGCTGATGCTGCAAGTTTGTGGTTGTTAGATGCAGCATTAGACAGTGAACCAAAAGACCTGAGCTCTGCTCCCAGCTCTGTTGCTGACCTGTTGCTTGATTTTTGGGTTTGTTGCTTTCTTCTTTAAAATGCATAGTGAAGAGCTTGTAGCAGTCTAGCCCACGACTCCCTTTCTAGCAAAGAAGCGTGTAGCTTAAGTAACGTACCTTAATCTCTGTGCTCCTTTTAGGATGTAAAAGATGGCAAGATCTACAATGAACAGAACTTCTTCCAGCGAGCTGCAAAGAAAGCTACAGGTTGGTGCTCGTCGTAAGGGTGAGGACTGTGCTGCGTGGTAGGAGATATTGGCATCCCTCTCACATAAGCTATGAGACTTTCTCAGAATCCAGGCTTGAATAAACTAATCCACTGCTTGGTCTGTGCCAGAGAGCGCTGAGCAGCTTAGTCAGGTGCCTGCCTCTCCCAAGAGTGTCTAGGTGTCTAGGTCTAGGTTGGACAGCATGATATTGACATTGAAGCGCTTCTCGAAGCTCTGTTGCCCTACCCATACATTTTATCTTGGTCTCCTGTTTAACCCTGCAGCCTGACCTGCCTTGGTTCCCTGGTCTCTTCTGTGCCCCATACATGAGCATTTCTGTCAGCTGCTGTCTGGCATGTACTTCATTGATCCAAAAATCCGGGGTGTGGACAAGCTGACCACAGTACATGGGCAGGTGTTTGGATAGGGGTGATGGAGGAATTCATGTCAAACCCCAAAAGCAGACTTCTGGAAAGACCTTAATCTTAAGTCCTTCCCAACCCTAATGTGTATAACTTGCTTCAATATCTCTCTCTCTTGCTCTCTCTCTCTCTCTCTCTGCCCCCCCTCCCCCTTTCCCTCCTCCCCTCCCATTCTTGTTTTACCTAGCCCCTGAACAACCACATGCCTTAGCCTACTCTGGTATTCCCAGCATCCTTTTTGTCTCTTATTCTTGCTCTGTAGTGCTATGTGCATTGACGTGCCGATAGCCCAAACGTTAGGCTGGTATTTATAGTCAAGAACGAGTATGAGATGATGGGCTTCTGGTTGTGAGCTGCCCAGAGCAGAGCATGCCTTTGGAGAAAGGAAATGCAGTTCTGACCTAGCCCCTCTGTTCTTGAGCTCCTCAGCAGCGTCTGCACTGCTCTGTCGTCTTCTCTTCCCCTTCTAGTGGAGAAATGGAAGAAGCTGCATTCTGTGCCATTGCTGGGTATCCCTGACTGCGTTGGCTTTGGACTCCATGGAGATAACTATCGGTGAGGTGGCTCTGTGCAATGCACAGCTGAGTTCTTTTGCCCGTGGCTTCCTTCCTTGCCCATCTTCCTGGGCTTTCCCTCTTCTGACTTTGCTGTCTGGTATTCCATTCTTCACTGTCCCCTGAGCTCGTAACCTCGTGTACTCATTTCTCATTTCCTAACAAGTGGTCTTCCTCTGTCATTGCTCTCTTTCCTTCAGTCCTTGTGTTGCTGGTGAAGTCATGGCTTTTGCTGCTTCCACTCAGGCCAGGGGACATCACTGACCTTTCAATTTAACATAAAAGGAAGGCTGTATTTGTGCAATATGGGATCAGCATGCCTTCTTTGTAAGGAGATTCTGTTGTCAAAAGTGAGGGAATTTGTGCCCAGGTTAACTTGGAGTTGAAGAGGGGTTTGTTCCAGGCAGATTGTTTGATGAGTGTCTGTTGCAGGACTACCAAATCCAGTAGGTACAAGTTAGTGTGAAGTCTTTGTCTCTTGTAGGTTTCTGGTGTTCCCTGATTTAGGGCGAACCCTTCAGTCCATCCTGGATGATGGCTTAAACCTACTGAGGGAGAAGGCAGCTTTTCAGATTGCAGTCCGGCTGGTATGTAGAGAACTTATCCTTTCTAAGAAACTTGTTCAGAAAAGGCCTGTAACTTTCTCCCTGACCTTCTAAAGGTGTTAACAGATCATCAATGGGTTGGCTGAGATCTTTTAAGTAGTGTCTCTTGAGCCTGTTAATATGTAACCTTGAGGGAATTTAGGGTAAGGAGAACAAGAGAAACCTTTGACACTTGAAAATTAGAGACTATCACACATGGTGCTTGTGAGCTCCTCGACACAGCTGCCAAGAGCAGAGAAAGAGTGGTCAAGATCAGTGCCAGCCAGGATGCTGACGGAATCTGTGTGATTCTCATGTGCTTGTCTCCTCTATTTACTCCTAGCTAGACTGCCTGGAGTTCATTCATGAAAATGAGTATGTGCATGGGGACATCGCAGCTGAGAACATCTATGTGAACCCAGCTGACCTCACAGAGGTAGGGAGCAAGAAGAGAAGGAACGGTGCTGGGAGCAAAGGACAGTGAAGGTGGGCTCACAAAGGAGGATAGGGCAGCACTCAAATGGGAAGAAGGGTGCCTGCTCCTGGGCAGGGGGAGCAGTGCAGCCCATGTAGCACTCAAGCAGGTGCTATGTGCAGGATTGCAAGGTACGTGGTAAGCAGACTTCACACCTGAAGGAACGTTCATGATGCCTCAGATGCCATCGTGCGTCTGGCATGAGGAGCAATGACTTTCCCCTGAAGGGAAGTTTTAGGCTCCTTCCTGGAGATCTCTCTGGAGAAGGCAGAGTGAAGGTACAGTCTCTGGACTTGGCCCCAAGCAGGAGCACTTAGATTTTGCATGTTCTTGACGCCTTCTAGGTGACCCTAGCGGGCTATTGCTTTGCGTTCCGTTACTGCCCAGGAGGGAAGCATGTGGCTCAGCGTGAAGGCAGTAGGACTCCTCATGAAGGCACAATAGAGTTTATCAGCCTAGACAGCCACAAGGGAGCAGGTGAGTCTATTGTCTTTGACATAAACTAGCAAAGCTTGTCTAGAACTACTTACTGTGGTAATGCTGTCTGGAACTAAGCCTCCCTGCTGGCATTTCTGTTATTGCTGCTTTCCAGGCATTTACACGCACCTGGAAAACAGTTCCTCTTTGGGCTATTTCCTCTTACCTCTCCCTGGGCCACTGGTGGGGGACTTGCTAGGTAACTCAGCAACTGCTGCAAGAGGTAGAGGGATGCTCCTGTTCCATCTGGAGCCCTGGCTACTACAGGTGTGTGAGGAATACAAACAGGGCTGCTTTATGCAGGCGTAGCAGGAATCTGTTCTAAGCCGGCCTGGATCCCTGCCCAAAACAGACTTGCAGCAGGCTCAGCTCTCATCTTAAACCAGCAAGAGCTGGAAAGGCATTTAAATGCGCCTGTACCTCTCCTGTTTGGGGTGGGACTGTTTTCTCTCAGCGTTCTTTCTGGGCAAATGTTCCTTCAGGGGCTGGCGGGGGAGTTCCTCAACTGTGTGATTTAGCAGGCTCCCAGAAGTATTGTTACTATGCTCTTGCATTGCTTTCTGTTCTTCAGACTTGCACCCCTTTATGAGGTTGCCTGTGTTTTACAGAAGGGGAACCTAAAATAGAGACTTCCAAGGCTGTGCAGTGAGCACTGAGCTATGGAGAGAACCTAGGAACTGCCTGTGCAGCCAGCAGGAAGTGTTCCCTTTCCACTAGGAAGGGGTTCCTCAGGCCTTGTGCTTACTTGGGCTGGAATCCCTACTCTTCTGTGGAGGAGAGGCACTAACCTGGGCCTCTTCTGGAATGGCTCCCAAACTCTATTTTTCACACTTCCCATCAGGACCATCTCGTCGGAGTGACTTGGAATCTCTGGGCTATTGTCTCCTAAAATGGCTCTGTGGTTTCTTGCCTTGGTCTGATGAGCTGACCAAAATAGAAACTGTGGTGGAGAAGAAGGAAAGGTAAGAGAAATCATAAACTCTTTTGGGGAATGCTCAGAGCAAAGCAGTGAGAGGATTTCTGACTGAAGGGAGATCACTCGGTGACAGTATGCTATTGGGATGCAGGTAAATCCATTCCCACTGTAAAGGCTGACTCTGGAAGCAGTTGGCCAAAATTTTTGTCTCTGGCTGAAAGGGTGTTTGAACCCCAATTTCTCCTCCACTCAGAACTTGGCCATCTGAGTTCAGCCTTTTTTTGTCCCTACTACCAAAGGCATGCTGTTCAAGTCTCTGCTCTATTGTTTACTGTCTGACAGCACTCTGCATTGATTATTCCAGGTACAAGGGGGATGTGACCAGCCTCCTCCGACTGTGCTTCAGGCAGAAATTGATTCCAGGTATGTGCATGTTCTCTGTGACTGTGGAACTTGGGAAGGGAGGACTGACTACACCTAAAGCTAGAACCTTCTGTGCTGTGGTCTGCTAGTCCGGGATGGCTTCCGGTAGTGGTGAAGCATGACATAGACTGGTTGGCAGGCTCCTTGTGTGAAAGAATTCCTTGTTTTGCTGTAAAGCAAAGTGAAACAAGGAGGGTTGATGCTTGTTATCTGTATTCATGAGACTTGCTGGAAGGCAAGGTGTTCTTGTGGCTTGAAAAATGCAGGATTTAGGACTAGGGGTCTTTTCTACATCCTGTCTTTGAGCTTCATGATATTGGTCTTTGGTTTTGTTTTCTTCTCTGCAACTGGCCAAGGCAGGTGATCTGTCTACTGGGAAAGCCCATTGTAAAGATAATTGGGGTTGCTGCGTTCCTTGTTTTGCAGATGCCCTGCAGAGCTACCTGCAGGAAATAACAGCACTAGATTATGAGGAGAAGCCTGACTATGAAGCCCTACGGCAGCTCTTGAAGAAGCCACTGGAGAAGATGAGAGCTTCAGCTTATGACTCGTTGGACCTCAAGGTGGTGCCCTAAGTAAGTGCCAGTAGTTTAGAGTGCAGCAGCACAATGCACTTCCCCCTGACCCCCATACACATAGCTGTGCTAATGGGAGGGCGTAAGCAGCACAGCATTGCTGCCCTGCTCCAGTTCCTGTTCATATGCCCTGCGGGTAGCATCTATGCGTTCCAGAGCAGAGGGAGTGAAAACAGAGCAGGGCTTTCTGTGAACTCTTTCCAGGTGAGACTTGGGGGCTCCTCTTACTGTCAAGGGGAGTCCCTGCCTTTCAGAGCTCCTTATTCTTAAAGAGACTAGTCCAGTGCTACACAAGGCCAGGCTTAGCCTATGTCACAGCATCTACTTCTCCAGATTTTTCTGGAAATACTCAACACTTGCCTTCTCCCTCCAGGGGCAATAAAGGTTGAACAGTCTGCAAGGGTAGAGAGAGAGATGCTTAAAAAAAAAAAAAGCAGACTGTGGGAACATTGATCCTTAGAAAATAACAGCCAAGGGCCTGTTTTTCTGCTTTTCCTTTGTAGCTCTACTGGGCACAATTGCTCAGTTGGGTTTTTGAAGGCAGTCCTTGTGAGGTTAGCCACTGAGGCTTGATACACAGACAAATCTATTTCTAGTCTAGAGCCACATCAGCTAAAGCTAGTGGGTAAAAGTAGCAGCCCAGTCACACTGAGCTAACGCCTCAATTCTTTCCCAGAAATAGGAGAGAATTAAACAAACTGATTAATGTTCTTATTTTGTGCCTTTTTTCAGATCAAGAAAGTTTGCACAGGAAAAGAGAGTCAATTCAAAGCTTTCTGCACTGTGAGGCCTTTCTAGGAGACACATTTAACTTTTTAATCTACCTGTTTTAGAATTGAGAGAGGTTTTTATAAGTGGTGTTCTCTGACTTTAATGTGACCTAACACTGACTCTTGAGCCACTGCTAACAAGTTCCAGCTAATGTGAAGACACTCCTGCATGGCAAGTCTTTGTAAGCAGTAGCTAGGCAGCTACCTGGAGAACTACAATGTAGCCACAAGGAAAGGGCCAAGCTTGGCCCTGAGTACCTAAATCAGGGACTTTCTGTAACTACACAGGCAGTATACCTTGTTTTGTAATAAACTTGGTGGACAAGCACTCAAGTCTCCCTTGATTAGTAACATCCTCAAGGCCTTTCTGCAGTTTGTTTTGAGGGATGTTGTAGAATTGTGAAGGTGGGTTCAGTCTAGTGTTATTGCTACTCAGTATACATTCCAGCTGTTTGTAATCTTAAGCTATGTATGTTAAGGACAGTCATTTTTGCAACTTAAGTGTAAGAACTTGCCTAGAGCTATACCTCCAGTAACTATGACTTGTTCAATGCAACTCAGACTTCTACCCCCAAACAACACCTCAGTTCTCCTCTGGTTCAGTGAAATGGATGAGTGGGATCCAGGGCTAGCACTCCAGCCATTAAAATAAGACAGAGAGCCAAATATAAAAAAAAAATTTATACAAAAGGCACTACACTGTATCTGAACTGTTGCTGTCTGCCACAGTAATTTCTAAGCAAAGGAAGAGTCATGGAGTCCAGTTCCAGTGTTAAATTCAGTGACATCTGCTGGAAGTCTTGTAGTGAGTATCAAAATATCAAGGTACCTGTTCTTAAAGGAGGCTGTTCTTTTAACAGTTGTAGGATGAAGCAGCTTTAGCCTAGACTTGCTAGGCTGAGGTCATTGTAGATGGTTTCTTCAAAGTTGTTACCAAGCATGAAATTTTCTGCTCTGTATCAGTAAGAAATGCCTATGCTGTCCTTGCTGATTCAAATCCAGTAGCGAGGCTTAAATTAAAGCTTTTAGTAAGAAATACTATCAGCCCTTATTGCATTATTGCCTCTGGTTCTAGTGTTCAAGTGTTATTTGTGCTTTACTTGAAGACACACTGTTGAAAATAGCAAGGAAGACTGTGCAAGACAGGAAATGAAGTTAAGCCACTGGATCAAGGTGAGAATTTAACCACACTATTCCAGCATATACTAACAGTTCACAGAGATATTACTGCTGTATCAGGCAGTGACGTGTTAAGGCACAGAAGGGCAGTTTTTCAGGTGAGGGAACACATGGATTTAGCCCATTTGTCTCAGGCACTAGTTGCCACATGAGAGGTAGGTTAAAAAAAAAAAACAAACACCCAACAAAAACAGACCTGCAGAGAGCCTTCATATACCTCTTGATTGTATCCATTAAAAAAAACAAACACCTTAGATCAGTGCAGCAAGTGGTATATACACAGAATAGGAAAGCACCAGCTGAGTGAAATAGCACCTGGCAGGAAGGATAAGGTAGCATAGTCTCAAAAAGATCTTTCAAGTGGAAGAGTTCAAGCATTGTGTTACATCCAGTAACCTGGCAACTAAAGCTACTTCTTTTAAAATAGGGCCAGGCCTCACAGTGAAACAAGGGACATGACAAGTACTCTATCATCAAGGAGTAACTCATGAGGCATGATGCCAAATGAACTGTAAATTTCATACATAGAAAAGGGTCTTAATTTGTATAGGATCAGACAATAGGGAATACTTTAAAAAGGCAGCTATCAAGAAAGGAAATGGCCCAGATATGAGCTACAGAAGCACAAGATAGGTTTGCAGACCATGATAGGCATAGACAAAGTTGAAGGGAGGGGGCACTTCTTGGAGGTATTGACAATTACTCACTACCACCTGCATGACTACACAGAAATACTATTTCCAGGATCCCTATAAAAGTAAACAGCATGTAATCAGAAGCTTAAGAAGCCCAAGTTCACCCTTTCTTCACTGTGTTCTGCAACATTTTTTCGCTTGACTTGTCTTCTGTCACACTTGCCATCACTAGGCCTAGCACAGACTGATTGTAAACGTGATTTCAAGTAATGAGGCGGACATGGCCCCTTGTTCATGGCACTGCCAAGAGACAGCGCTGAGGTAGTTTTGAGAGGTACTCCAAAGCTGCCTTCTACAGAAGATGTAGGGCTGGTGCTGTTGACAGAGGAGTAGCCTGAGCTCCCTTCTACGTTAGGATTTCTTGGGGTGAGATATGCTGGAAGAACACAACAGTCATCTGTCAGCTGAGCCTCACTCAGTGGTACTGTGTGCTCAGACCAGCCTGCGGCTAGGTTATCCTCATCACTGGAGTCTTGACAGCAGTGCTCTGTTGGATCCATATAGACCACAGTTACATCCAGGATTCCACTGGGAGCTGTCACTATAGGATGATGAAAGAAAAGGTTATCTTCAATTTGGGCAACACCAGGAAGACATTCAGCATGGAATAAGAACCAAAAAAGTAGACCTTATGTCTACTTATATATGGAAGGCCAGAGCTATCTTTTCTCATTTAGAACAGGGACATTCCTTCCTCACCCTGTTTGAGCAGATACTGTCTAGCAACAGTTCACAGTTAAAGGCTAGTCAGTGTTAGCAAAACAAGCATGTAATACAGCATTCACAACACTGGTCACAGGCAAAATCCCTGGAGCAGAACCATCCAGCAGGGTTTAAAGTACTCCCCTTCATTCAGAGTTTCATCCTCTGTCACAGCACTACCCCAAAACAGTCTCACTCTGAAACTCTAAGCAGCTACAAAATCCTTCATCATGTTCTGAAGCAGTATGAAAAAAAGGGATATATACCTCTAAAACAGTTTACATTTAAGACTACTGGAAAGGAAGGAGTTTTTCCAAAGTGGTCTTCCTCTGAAAGTTAGTTGAGAAACAGTTTTAAGCAAAGATAGCTAAAATTTTTAATTCTCTCATCTGCTTTTTGTAAGGAGAATAAAACCCTCACCATCTCCATCTCTCTCGCCTTCACTTTCCTGATCACCTTCATAACCAGAGCAGGAGTCTAAACTCCAGTCCAGAAAGTTGTCTAGAAGACTTTCTTCCTGGGTAGATAGCTCAGCTGTGGGTGTAGTCACAAAGCTGCCTCTGTCATCCTGAATACTGTCTTCCCTCCTCCTGTAGTGTTGGGGGGGAGGAAAAAAAAAAAAAAAAAAAAAATCAATCCAGAAGTCATATATTAAAAGCCAAGTCTTCTTTTCCAGCTCTTTTAAAAGGTATGCCCATTACATGCCATTTTCTGTGGTTACAGAAAAATTGATCATATTTCAGAAGGGAAGTTCAGGAAACCAGAAAAGAGGAAAGCCTCATGCTAATCTTCAGACATTTACAATGATGAGTTTATACTAGCCTTTTAGTTCTCTTTCCAGAGGGAGAGCTAAGGAAAGTCTTAATTTCCGCCATATTTGTGTGCAAGGGGCTGGGCTCTGGGTCTTCCTGCTTCACACCCAACAGTGAACACAGCTGGCTGTAACTCATCATCTAAAAAAAAAGTCAGTACAAATTAGAACATACAATCCCCTCTGGCAGAAGGGTGCTATTTCTCTTTATTTCCCAGAAAAATCCATCATGGCAAATTCTTGCCACATGTACTCAGCTATGCTACTTATAGTCCCAGCAGATGAAGTTTAAAAAAAAAAAACCATTGCTTTATTTGCATGTTCTCTTTTCAAGAGAATCTAAAGTTAAGAGTTACTTCCCATTATTTGAAGTTTTGTACATCCTGCCATATGGTTAGTTTTGCTCCGAGTGCCAGGCATCACCGAATGAAGATAAAGAACTCACCTTCTCTTTACCTATTTCTTCATAACGCTCATCTTCAAATCGTTGTTTAACTGCAGTTAAAGACACCTGCCTATAATCCTTTGGGACATCATCGTGGAAACTGGAAAGAAAGGTTAAAGCCCTAATCTGAGAATGGTTTACATGAGACCATGCTAACAAAACCTGCCAATTTAAGTACTTTTCCCACTGTCCAAGAGCATTTTATCTCAGCTCTGTGCTAAGGAAGTTGGTGTTTCAGCAACTAGACAGGCCACTTGGTTTGTGAAGCAGAGGAGCATCCAATTCCTTGTCTGTTCCTTGAAATAAACAAGATATTTGCCTTGTACTCTTGCAAAAGTGAGCTACCTTTGTCACTGGAACACTTCCTGAAGTTTGCCAATAAGCAAGTCAGTCTTAAGAAAGTAGTGACATTTGGCAAGTTGAAACTGCTAACCTTATGAAGCATCACATTCTCTGTAATGCAGGCCCATTACCAGTCAGGGAATGAGAAAGCTATTATTGAACTAGAACATATTTAATATTGCGCTAGGCCTCAGTGCCTTGTGATGGGGGGAGAAAAGCCATTTCCCAAAGTCAGCTTCTTCATTTGGAAGGACTGGCTGTATGGATGTAGCATGTCTGGAAAAGTTGGGTTCCAAACATTCATGTGCCCTCCCAGAAGAGTTCCAAAGTTTTTACCATTTTTGGTAGAGGCTTAGCACACATGGCAACAGGTCTTCAAGAGAGAAACCAGTGCATTCAGACAGCTGGCTTGTCCAGGGATGTGCTGGAAAAAAGAGTACATACTATCATTTCACGAAGCATGGTAGTTCTGTAATCACATTGGTTTTTTTAATGGGATAAATATCATGATCTTCTACAAGCTTATGCCTGTAAACAGCTTATTCAAGTTTAGAATTAGCTTCAAGGATAGGTTTACCTGCCAAACTGAAGTTACAGCTAGCTATATTGTCTATGCTGTAGGATTAATGGCAGAAACCTTCAGTCTCATTTAAACACATTTGCATTGTATAATGTGAACACTGATTCTTCATAACTATAAAGAGGCAAAATAAGGTGAACTCATCTCTGCACTCTGAAGTCTTACACCCATGCCCCTCACCTTCCCCCCTCAAATGACTGAGACATCTTGCTTAAAGTGAGAAAGAATGGCTCCCTAAAAGGACAAGTCAAACTGGCCTAACATGCTGCAGCTCCACTTAGGAGGCTGTTCCTTACCTTGCTTGTGTAATATCTTAGCCAGCAGCAGTGCTGCAACAGCCAGACGAGCTGGGGAATACACACAGAGGCTTGTGTTCAAGAGTGACAGTTCACAAATGAAGCTGTAAAGGTGAAGAGTTCTTCTCTCCAGCGAGACTATGTTTGACAATACTTCTTTGTAGTCCACAACAGTAGGTATCTAATACACAAAGCAGAACAGAGGTTGGCAACACATGTCAAGCATCAAGTATTACAACACAGCTGTTCCCAATAAACCCTCTTTATCTTAGGGGTTTTTGCCCCCCCCCTTTTTTATGACCTCTGAACTTGAGTTTCAAGTTTTAATCTCTACAGAAAGAGAGACAGTTTTGCATCAGCAGGCTTTTACATGTGCATAGTCTCCATGGCTTATTGAGAACAGTTCCATCAAAAATAACATCTTAGATGTTATATGAAACAGGAAAGGATCCACATTTCCCTGCTAACTACAGCAGCACAACTTCAATAGTGGCCCAAGAGGCTAAGCATTCGATCTACTTTCTAAACTCACCCTTATCTTTCCTTCCAGGGCAGAAATGATCTCCCCCATCATTCTGACTAGGTCTTCATATTTGTATGTGTTGTCTGTTAGCCACACAGCTTCCCGTATTGTCAAGATCTCTTTGCTGACGAAACTGCAATATTAAATATTAACAGTTGACCCCAGAAGAACCTGGATGTGTATACCTGTGCACTGATTTTCTGGGGGCAGACAAACATACCCACGATGACCAAAGAGTTAAACAGCCTCAAAAAGTACTTGTTAAAATCACGGATCAGGTACAAACTGGGAAAGAAGGAACAGCAGCTCTTTATTTCACCTTTAAGCCAGAACCATTTATTAGAACATTTCTAATTCATTGCATTTAGGAAACCTCTCCTAAATTAAAATGCAAAATATTAAGGGAACTACTACAGGAGAATAATATTCCACCACATTATGCTTGTTTATTCCTGTAAAGCACAGGTCTGTTTGTTTGAGCACAACAGACTGAACTGCGTAACAATACTGCAGCTGTTTCTTACAGGATTATTCATGCTAATACTGTGTGAAAGACTTTAGGTGCTGATGGAAGGCATTTAGACCTACTCACTGCAATAGCGTTTTTCCATATTCAAATACATGTTAAAGAAATAATATTTTGCATGCCACTTGCAGATACCAGGAGCATTTGTAGGTGAACACAGTTCAAGCAGCAGTTGGTGTAAAGGGAAGTCAAAGGGTCCTTCCAGTACTATTATTAGTAAGGGGCCAGGGTGGGGTGGGGAAGCTAGAGTGCACAAATGAATTTGAGTGATCACAGTAACTGCCTGTGACCACCAGTCTTAGCCCCTACCGTGTGCAAATGACCATGCAGGCAATTCCCAAGAGTTGGAGTCGAGCCCGGGGTACAGGTCTCAGCTTCAAATAACGATCCACACATCCCACTGTCATGTGAAGGCATAGGCTAGAGAAGTCTTTCATGGTAGCCACTTCCACCAACCAGTCAATCAAGATGTACCTAGATAGGAGAAAGAGACAATCTGCCAGGTTAGAAGCTGTTCAGACCTGGGCTGAGCGTTCTACCCGTACAAGTCCTCTCTGCACTGAAGGGTTCCAAACCAAGAAAAATGTACCAGAAGAGATTTCAGAAAAATCCTAGGTTGCATTGAGACAAGGATTTGCAGCCAGAGGACTGTTGTGCTCTTAGGGGCCAATGGTCCTTTTAAGTAGTTTGTGAAATGAAATTAAAAGCTAGCCTATAATTAATAGGCACCTGAACAAGGAAATAGGTAGGGGCATATAAATCAGGAGGCTAAAGATCACCAATCTAGAAAACCGGAGAGTAACTATAGCTCCAACAAGTCAAGTAGTGCTTCTAGTTCTTGGAGAGCTTGTCAGTCTTGACTGTTGCAAGAACTTACGTTCCAGAAGAGAAAACAAAAACAACCCCCCACCCTCTGCTTCACATTTTCACCGTGGCTCAAAATAAAGGCTCTATTACTTCCTCTTTGCAAAAGTGTCATGTGTTTCTTTAATTGTACATAATGCATGGTAGAAGTACTGTAAAGCAAAAGGTTCCATCTTCCAACACACCTCATTCTACATTTGTTAGATTTGTTTCCCTCTACAGATGTGAGGGCAAACAGGCAATGTTTTCTGCTGTGTCACAGGCAGGCATGCCATCATGGAGGCCTGGCTCCTGGATTTGAGATTTTACCTCATTGTTTCATTCATTCCTTTCTGCACAGTGAAGATACTTTGCTTGCTGACAGGAAGGGAGGCTTGAAAGATCTGAGACACCATTTCATTGGAAGATTTTGCTTCTAATCCTAGTTGGTTTCCATTTCCACAAGCTTTAGCTAAAGCTATCTGTAGTAGACAGAACACAAAAAAGCTTTTACCAAACGCAAACTAAAGCGGCACAAGATGGTCCTGTAATTTTCCTACTGAAAATGGAAATGGCCAACAGGACAAACAACTTGAAAGGTAAGGAACAGGTAGTTCTTAGTCTGGCTTAAATGCTGAACACCACACATTACTTGGGGATAGGCCTTTAATTCTAGCAAAAGCTGGACCTTGCTCAGATTGTACCACAAAAATGCAGTATTTTCAAAAGAGGGTGATTTGCAGAGAACACACACACAGTATTCAGTCATTTTGACCCTGTTTCTAACGGGAGGAATCTATGCTCACAAGAGCACGTAGAAGACTTCCCAGTAAAACTGTCTTTATTCAAAGTCAGTCTTACCTGTGCTTCCCAGCAGCCTTTTGCAGCATAGTCCCGTAGCTTCCTGAGGCTTTGGAGGTATCTGCCCGGATCTGACATCTACAGAGAGAAATGCAAACAGATTTCAAAAACCATTCCTTTACATAGCAAATAGAAGGATTATAGCACTATTATCCAGAGGGAAAAAACCCACTGCTTGTGGTTACATGTATTATTTCAGCAACCAATGTTTCTCATCATGAGGACAACATTGTTTTTGAGAGACTTGCTTCAGTTCTTGCCCAGGGTCTCACAAGAAGTGAAATAGGTCATTCAGGATTCCAACATTTTATAAATGATGATGTAGGCAGTCTCCCCCCTCCCATTCTCAAGCGGGCAACCTGATCGCTAGCCAGTAGTGACTATGACTTTAGTAGATGCAGTATAAAGGAACTTCTGCTTGCACCTTAGCTACAACTGTTCACAGACTCACTTATTTTAAATACCAAGACAAACATCAGGGCTCATTTGTGAGAGTTCTTAGCACTCTCCTTGTTTATGAAGCAGGTAACCTCTGAGGAAGAGCAACGTCTTTCTGCCGTTGTTCATCACACATAAGAGGTCCAGACGTTACAGCAAAAAACATTTTAAGACAAAATTACTTACAGCAGCCTTTCTGTTACTTTCCCAAAGGAGGTAGGAGCTATTTAAACAACCCTGCTTTGAAGATTCTTCAAACATTTCAAGAGATTCTTCTCTTTTTTCTTCATCCTAAGAAAAAGCATGATGGTATTTATGCTGTCGTCCAGCCAACTGGGTGCCAGACCTCAGAACTTCAGCAGCTGCAGAACAGCTCTGTACTGAAAGCTATGGTAAAGAATCTACTAGTCGCAAGTCCCCTCCAGACTGTAAGGGCTGCTACCACATCTACTCAGTGCTGTCATGTGAAGATTCAGGCTCATGAACTATTGGTAGTTTTCCTCAGATAGTCAAAAGTGTTGTTTTTTTTTTTTTAAAGCTTGCTCACCACTGAAGGCCATTTATTCTGATGCACATTAAGACTGGAAGCCTTCCTTTGACGTCTGACCACAGTGCAAGCCCATAATAAGCAAGACTTAGACTAGAAGACTAGAAGAACTTGCAGTTCTTCTAAAATTGAATAAACAGAGTTGATAACGTTCCTTTAAACGATTTGTAAGGTAACAGAAATTCCTAAGCCACTTGAGCAATACAAGAACATTTGTTTGCTTTTTATCAAGGTAAACAGAGAATTAGTATTAGCAGAACAAGTCATTTTCAAAAACCCCAAAGACATCAGATCAAAAACACTGCTCACCTCAAAAAGGCTTAAGACCTTAGCCAAGCAGTGGAGAATAGATCCTTTTTGAACCTGAAGAAAGCATTACGATAAAGTATCATTAAGGAGAAATAAGGAACAAGAGCAATTTTTAGAAACAATTCCAGATTATACTTTTGTTTGCCTTTCAATCATTCCTTCCCTTTACTTCTGGGTATTTTGTTATCTTTGAGTTGAAACTGAATCTCGTAAGAGACAGTACAGGCCTCCGGCACTCACAACATAACCAGTTGTAGTTTGGCTGCAAATTCACTAAAACAATTGATGCACAGTCATTTGAACAGCAAGGGCATAAGAGCTCCTCAGGTAAACAAAAATAATTTTTCCAGAAGAAACAGGTGAAGCTACTACCCTATCTTAACTTTAAGAGTAGAAAGAAATCTTACTTTCTCCAACTGACATTCTGCTTTGAGACTTTCATACACCACAGCCTTACAACAGCTTCCGCTCAAGGACCAAGGAGGACGAATAAAAAGCCAGATAAAGGGGGCTGCGCGCACATTCAAACGCTCTGTCAGACTGAAGAAGTGAGATGCCTTTAATCCATTCACTTCTGCACGACCCTCGTCAGAGATGGACACTGAAAAACAACAACCCCCCAGAAACAGTTTAGAAAGGAGCTTATTCACAATACGTTCTTGGCATTTAGCCAGGCCAAGAAAGTCAGCAATGTTGTTTCCTACAATAGGATATAATCAGAAAAGACTGAACAGTGTCTTCCCTTTAGAGCTTTAAAAATCAAGGAGATGGCAAAAGAAGAAAGATCTTATTATAGTCAGTTTGTAGCAACGTACAGCCCTAAACCTGGGGGGACATTCTGCAAATACCAATACTCAGAGCAGTATTAATTCCTGTCAGTGCACAAACAAGCAAAACAGTATGCAAGTTACCGGCCTTGCCAGAACCCTCAGCAATAAAGTTCCTCCTGTCAATCAGTCCCTTTTGTCACATCTAACAGACTAGGTAACCAGCCAAGTTTAATGAGAAGTTTTCAAAGCATAACTTCTAAATATGCGTGTAGAACCTATGCATTGACTCATTTTGTGTTTAAAAAAAAAAAACTTGTGTCCCATAATATTATTGAACAGCTAACGGGTTAGTGGCCAGTGCTTAAGTTCGACTGAAAGATAAAACTCAAGAGGCATGATAACCACGCACTGAAGATAGCAAACTGGTTCTAGAACCTGGGTACAAAAGCATCAGTGTCCAAGGCATAGGAAGTACACTATGCAGGTCGCCAATAAAAATGCCAACTTTGTGACTGCGCGATTAGTCTGATCTGCAGCTAGAAATAAGCCTTCAGTTCATCTACACTTCCATCTGTCACACCACCTTCCCCAGGAGCCCAAGTACAAGCTTCCACACTTACAGCCTTCATTGTACAGGTATGCTATCCCCAGCTTCACAGCAGCTTCAAAGTTACCCTTTTCAGCAGCCCTAAATTGGAATACAGAGAGGATACTTCAGGGTCAAGTCAGTATGTACTTCCAGCCCCCTCATCCTTAGACAAGCTTCATAGTCTGGCCTACGCTGCAGTGTTTGATGCAGCGTAACAAGTGCACTCTAACCGCCAGCATACATGCTTCTGCCACAGCAGTTAAACATAAATTATGCCCTGGCTTTTCTTGCTGCAACCCTTTGATGTGCCCGTGTCCAGAACAATCCAACAATTTTACAGGAACTGTTTTCCAATCCCATGTAACATCCCCAATGCCAGAATGTGATAACATATTTTGGTATTTGCACTGTCAAGCCAATTATCAGATAGTCTTTAGAAAGAACTTTAAACATGCATCAGAGCAGAGGCAACAATAAGAAGTGACAAAATTAGCATGACATTAAAAGTGACCAATACCCTTCAAATCAGAGGGATAAACAGACACTCTCCTCCCCTTTTAAGCAGATTTATAATTATCTATTCAAACTCCAATCTTGTTTTAATACCAATATTTACCTATTTTTCATTAGGTAAAAACACTTCCTCACAAGTAGTCACTAAATGAATTGAGATCTAGAAATATGGTTGTATTCTAGATCCTCTGATTTGACTTGCACATTCATATGGAAACCAGCTCAAAGAGCATCAGTAACACAGGTTTTAGTTAACACACTTTGTTCCCCTACAGGATATTACTGCATTTCAAGAGAAATGAATCCTAGGTATATGCAACAGACTGTGCTCCAATTAAAAAGACAACAATTTCCAGTTTCCAGTTAGACAGTTCTAATTTGCATGAGTTTAGACATGAACTCAACAATTCTTCAAGCAAGAGCAAGCAAAAACTTCCACAAGTAAGAAAGGACAGTCAGATCCCTCACTTACAGTAGAAATCGATTCACATTGGATACCTAGTTTGAAACATCCTCCTCTACAATCATGAGCATATCTTGATTCTTAAAGCTTACCTTTCAAACATCTTCAGATTGTTGGGAGAAGGCCATACTTCTTGGAAACTCGCACATGCCCAAACACTAGCATGATTATCCACAAGGTATTTAAGATGTGAGTGCACCTGTGGGGACAGGGGGTGTGTGCATGCAAAAAAGCAATTACAAAAATAAAGGATCAACAGAACAATAGTTCTTCAGCAATCTAATTTTATATAGGTAGCAAATTAATCACAAGTAAATCACAATTATCGCCCAGCCATCACTAAGACAAGAGCTGCCAAACTGAATTACGTTTTTCAGTCACAGTTGATCTGGCAGGAGAATTCCCACAGAAAATCTACAGAGAACACTCAAATACTGCTGCTCGTATTTCTCAGTACTTGAGCTTAAGAAGAAAACTGCTATTAGTATGGCAAAAAATCTGAAGGAAAATCAAAGAATATACACAGTAATTAGTTTTACTCTGACAAGAGGAGCCAGCCTTTCCCGTGTCCAGTCCTGGCTCCCGATGGCAGAGGTAAGCCATAGCATGTTACAGAGAGGAAGTGATTAGCAGACTCACAGCTCTGACTGAAAGGATGTCCTCAGCAGGAAGGCCTTTCAGAACATGAAACAGAACATCTTCAGGCAGACTTAACAATGTCAGGACTCGGGGCCGTTTTCTTATCCTTCGCTTTGAAGGGAAAGAAAAACATCTGGAACATCTACAGTGAATTACTAGAAAACAAAAACCGAAACACCTCAGTTAGCCACGAAACAGCAGGAGGAAAAAAACCCACTATATACACATATATAAACATGTAGATGGGCAGTGTTACTGTACCTATTCTCCTGCAGCATAGGACATCACATATGCAGAGACTTTAAAAATAAACACATTTAGCATGAAGTCAATGATTTAGCAGTTTTAGTTATGAAATGAATGATTATTTTAACTGATTAAGCTGAGAGGCTCAGAAGGGCAATTGACTTCAGCAATTCAGCTCAAGTCCTCTCCCATTGAGCAGAATCCCTCCATAATCTAACTCCATCATTTTAATGATTTTAGTTAAACTGTCACTTCATTTACCTCCCCCCACATCCTGATTTTTCCTTCTCAATTGACAGTAGTCTTCAAAACGTGCCCAAAGAGATTAGTAACTTAAGACCTGCTAAACTAGCTCAAGACAAAAGCCTATCTTTCTAAGAGGCCATTTGTCTACCACAGACACTTATGGAAGATGCCAAAGAAGCAGGAAGCCCTTTCTTAAAGTTTCAGCATGTCATAGCATTCAGGCTGAAGCATTACCTACATCTTCTGTTCCTGTTGAGGCAGAGTTTACCCTCAATGCATTAGCCAAGAGTAGAAAACTACCTGACACATGAGACGAAACTGAGAAAAGCACGCCAGTTCCACTTGCTGGAGATATACCCCATGGTAGAAAGCCCAGTTGTTTTCCATCTGCTGAGGATAGCCTCTCAGTGGCAGTCCAAACACTGCACTCTCTCTTGCCTGTGCTCAGGGGCCCCAACACTAACAGTATGTTAGAAATTCAAATCAGTGAAGTTGCTAGGAGGAAAAGAGCATGCTCCTCCACCTCAAGACTGTACCTGGTAGAGAAGGCTCACTCCCACATTATTGGTTGCGTAGGAGGATCCCCCCTCCCCCAATGATATTTCATGCTCTGCCTCCTTTCAGAGCTCTGTCAAGCAATCACAGAGATATCAACCTTGCTCATTTCAATGTCAACCTCTTACAAAGGTAGCAGTAATCCACTCAAAATAGAGCTCTCAAGAGCAGCCCATGCAAGCAACAGAGGTCCATTTCTGCGACAGAAGAGGGCAGATACAAGGGCTCAGAAAACAAATTCTGAAGTGAAAGTTTCAGTCCCACAGTGCAAAGGACCATGTTGATGCCTTTGCTAAGGAAGACTTCTTGCCTGTATTTTTCAAATCTGGCTTCTAAGTCTTATACAAAGAGATTATATTTGGAAAACGTAATTACTGACTTCATTCTAAAAAAAGTCATAAAAGATATAGACTCCATTAGACAGCCCATTACTTTGCCTCATATAGATGCTAACATTTTTACCCTATTTCCATGGGTTAATTTCTAATTTGGAGTCTTGTTGAAGTGAATAAAAACAGAACAGTAGAGTCAAAGTAGCAATATAATTTATATGCCAAACCACAGCCTATTATCTATGAAGTAAAACAATCAGACTTATACAGCCTCTCTAGATTACATGGTCAAACGCATAAGCTGAGAGGATGGCGCAACTGCCAAGTTTTCTTCTCCTCACAATGAAATTAAAAGTTGGAAAAGCCAGAGTTGAAGATAGATAATTTTAATGAGGGAAGTATTTTTCCTCCATGAAGTGTGTGTTCTCCCCGCCCCAGCCTACTCTACTACTTTCAGTGTTTACCAAGACATGGTTATAACCTATCACGTGGAAAGCCTCATGATCTAGTGCAGCTTTCTGGTTCTTTACAGAGAGTTTGGATGAGAGGCTGGAGAAGCAGTAAGTTGCATTTATCTTTGAGAAGAATAGAGCACATCACCTGCTGTAGATGCAACGAATAGGAAAATATATGGACTGTCCAGTTATATCTCTACCTCTGACTGTGCCAGATCCATAGAACTAGGAAGCATCCAGATTTACGGACTGCCTAGCCAATGTAGAGCTTATAGAGGATTCGTTCAAAAGCACAGTTACTGCATCAGCTTCAATTACTTTATACAGTTTTTTCAGTTTGCAAAGTAAGTTTTTCTGAACCTGAGGAAAAACTTCTTCACTGTGAGGGTGACAGAGCATTGGAACAGGTTGCCCAGAGGGGTGGTGGAGTCTCCTTCGCTGGAGATATTCAAAAGCTGTCTGGATGTGATCCTGGGCAATATGCTCTAGGTGACCCTGCTTGAACAGGGAGGTTGGACTAGATGATCTCCAGAGGTCCCTTCCAACCTAAACGATTCTGTGATTCTGTGAGTTCATAAACAACAGCTAGAAAGCCACTGTGCTGAAACACCCTTTTGTACTCATCTTGCTATGCACACTGTTAAATCCCTTAGCATTTTGGGTTTAGTGGAATAAATCAAACTGATACACTATAGCATCTGCTCTCCCAGTATAGCACGTATCTTCCTGTTACCTGCCTTTGAATAACAGGCTATTGCCATGAAAATAAAAACCTTTGACACGTGCAAGGAAGAATACTGCTCTCCTTCGCAACCCCCTTCCCTTTCTGGAGCCGATTTCAGCAGAATTATCGCAATGAAAAAGAGAAGGACATCTATACTGGTATGCCAATTACACCTGCATGAACATGGAATGACTCAGGAGCATGGGGTTCTCAGGCAAGCTAGGAAACAGAAGTTTGTTTCAAAAGTTAGGAAGCCATACAGGGAAATCTGTTTGTTACTTCACAGAATCACAGAACCGCTGAGGTTGGCAGGGCCCTTTGGAGATCCTCTAGTCCCACCCCGCAGCTCAGAGCAGGTCAGTTATGCAGGCTGCTTAAGGCCACGTCCAGTCACATTTTGATTATCTCCAAGGATGGAGACTCCACAACCTCTCTGGGCAACCTGTTCCAATGTTCGATCACCCTCAGAGTAAAAAAGGCTTCTTTTCACATTTGAATAAAATCTCCTGTATCGCAGTTTGTGCCCAACAACTTCATAGCTGTCCAGTATGTTATTCTGTACGCAGCCTACATTTCTTTACAGCTGGCTTCAAAATGAGAAGCAAAAGAGCAATAATGAAACACACCCAGGAGTTATAGACTATTTGCAGAGACTGCAGCAAAAAAGACTAGAAAGCACAAACTCAGGTAAGATCCTAGAACATCCATGTCCCAGTAACACAGAAAGCCGCACTTCAAGAGTCATTTCTGTTAAAATAAGTAGGCCTGCAGCGAGAAGCCCTTGGAAGAGCTGGGAGGACTCCAGCCGTAGCCGAGCACGCCCCCAGGGCAGAGCACCGGCCCGGCCCCCCGACACCCCCCCC